TGTTGCACAAAACTTCTGCTGCATGGATACATGCACAGACTCCTCCCTTGCATCCACTCCATGCACACAGATGCATACAAAGGGAATGCCATAGTTGTGTGTTCTTTACAACAATTCAAACGTGGATGTCGGAATAGGAGAAAAAATGTGTGTCCATTTTAGTGGACTATCATAACTTGGATATTTTTGATGTACCCTGAACTATGGGATATCAGAAATGATGTGCTTTCTTCTGGGTCTGTTCTAGTTCTTATGAAATCAAGGGCAAAACTCCTACTAATTTAAGTGATGCATGTTCACAGGAATATGAATTTGTATAGGCATTTTGCAAAAACACATATGTATACATACTACACTGTAAAATGCTTAATTATTTTCTGCTCAATCCCTTGAAGAAATTTTCTTCACAAATGTGGAGAAATTCCTCCTCATAAGTTAAAAATAAAACTGGTGTGAATTGTACTTTTCTAAAGACAAAACCAGAAGTTAAAAAAGCACCCACTTACAAGGGGTGTACGTGTGTGTGTGTGTGCATGTGTGCATGTGTTTGTTCATGTTTTTAAAAGAACTTTATTTTTATGCCTCCTTTATCTCAGCAGACTGTCCGGCGTGGGACGAAAACATTGTCATATGCACATAAGACAGGGGGAAAATGCATCCAACTGGCCTGCATTTTCTCATCTGTTACAGATTTAAGATCTTTAGTGCCACAACATTTCGACTTTCGCAAAACCTGAAAACCAGAGAGTGAGAACCGTGCACAGGAGAAAATCTCTTTTCATCACACTGGGATTATTTTTCTATCCCAGGTGCTTGAGCCTGGGCTTTCTCTTAGTCTAATTGATAACTGGCGGGCTCCTCCCCTTAACCCGCTGACTTTTGTGCGTTCCCTTCCCGGGCGACTACTCTTTCACTGTTCTACTTCATTCACTTATGGTTGACCTGGAGCTCCTGGGTTAAGCTTCCCCACTGGTATTCAACCTTGGACCTTATTATTGTTCTACTCGTCTGACCTCCGATACACTAAATTCTAACAAGGTGATCTGAAAAAAATCACTCACTTTTTCTGTGTGGTTTCATGGCTCGTCTTTTTACCGCTCTCGGCTGATGTTCTTTTCTCCACTTCAGACCACCAAGTGCTCTGCTTTAGTTTGTCAATTTATAGTGCTGTCATGGTTTCAAATGCTGTGACTATTGTGTAGAATATACTCTCCTGACCTCTGAAGCAACTTTCTGTATTTCAATTGTTAACTCATTAGGGTTTGGAAGAACAGCTGAAAAGAGAATGGCCTTTTTCCCACAATTGCTTCCAATGAGCTGCTTGAAGACGCATCACAATCCAGGATTAAGAGAAATCAAGAAGATGCTGCTAAAAATTACCTCCAGTTATTTTGCATTCTTGTCTAAAGGAAACAAACAAAACACCTCAATCCCAAATGATACTGATGCTCTTCTTCAGTTCGCCACTAAGATGCAAGAGAGTAGCATATTAATAAAGATAGTAAAGAAAAGATAATCTTCTGATTTGGATAATTCAAGTTCTTTGCCAAAGTATGCCAAAGTATAGACAAAATACATTGTTTAACATAATTTTTATATTTCACTACTTCTACTGTCCACAGGCAATCCTTTGTTTACCCTGGTTCTTTGTCTTTGGATCCTGGGCCTTGAACTGGATTTTCCCATCAAGTTTTTCTAATAAGTACTGTTTCAACTCCTCCCTTTTCAAAATATCTTGGCAAGAGAGAGAAAGAAGAATAGAGAAGTGAATGGAAGGTACCACCAGATTTTATCCTGAAGTCAGCTCCCTCTCAAGACAACAGGAGTGCAGTCATAACCATGTTTATTAAAAAAAAAAAATAAATCTCCTTGCCTTCTTTTCCATTTAAGTGGAGAAATCGTCTTGCTCACTGAGCAAATAGAGAGGTGCTTCTGCCATTTAGGGACAGATTTATAGCATTAGCAAGAAGTTCATCATTTTCATACTCTGAATTTTCAGATTAATGCACAACATCTTATTTCTGAGGTTTCTCTCTGTAGCAAAGACTGAGCCACCAGTTTCTGAGTGGTAAAAATGGCATATGGTTTTGCCATTTCAGATAATTTAGTATGATTTAGAATTTAACAGTTCTAAACAGATAACATCTAGTTACACGTGCACATTTTTTTTTAAACAAAATGTTTTGAATAATTTTTCTGTCTTTTCTCCAGCATCACAGGTGTTTAGCTCTATCACGGATTTTGATATCAACAGAAAAATATTAACTTTTTGGAACTCCTGGGAATTATGTTGATCCTTTAACAAAATATTTAATTTTGAGAGACTACTTTGTGCAGTGTTCTCCCAGGTAGCACTAATCATGGCTGCACAGTTTTCTGATAACATGAAATACTTGAATGCATCCTTCATTTCGGTGTCAGAGAATCATCGTAACAACAGCTTGTCGTTACATCTTGTAGGTCCCATCATCAAGGGTGTCAGAGTATTTTGCAAACACTAATTTAAACTTCACATTTTCCCAGAGGACAAGGCTGATTTGGGTGTATCTCTACTGATTTAAATTATCATGGTATGGGAATGACCTTTTTCCTCTCAATCATATAATACCCTTTTTATAGATGGGTAAATTGAGGTATTGGCTAGCAAGTGTCCTATCCAAAGCCACAGACTGAGTCAGTACAAGCAATGCAATTGGTATCTGGTATCTGTTCTTCAGCCCTCTAAAACACTTGCTAATTCTTTCATCATGCTTGATGATTTAAGATTTAACAATTTTGTTCAGTATAAGTCCACCTGCTTCAGAAGACTCTCTTTTAAACTGGGTATATAAGCAATATTAACATAAGTTTTAAATAATTAAAAAAACAGAGGTTAGTGACTATTTTAACAGAATTAAAATGATGGTATAAAGTGGAAGGAATATAATCATTGTGGAGTTGATGCTGCCTAAAAACAATGGGTGCATTTGATTCCCTATGTGGAACACTATTAGACTTTTTACTTTAATAAAACAGTAAAGCCAATACTGTACTGCAGCTTAAATCAATTTCCCTAGAATGATATTACAGCTGCCAGACCTCCCAAAGTTGTAGAATATTTATTTTCTGAAGAGGTAAGGAGCTCTCAAATCTTATTGTTCCATTTAAAAAATATATATTTGCATGGATGATAAAATGATATCAGAAAGCAATTTGTGTTAGTGTTTGTACAAGCAATTGCAAAAAAAAAAAAAAAAAAGCTGTCTGATTGTGTTGCTGTTCTTCTGCATTGTTGTTTTTAACAGATGGTTCGCTATTATGACTGCCTTTACTTCAACAAGACTTTATAACCTTGGAAATTTTTTTGTTTGTTTGTTTGCTTTTTTGCTCGGAGTTGTAGTGCACCATTCATAGTTTAAAAGTTTATGTGGGTTACTTTGTTAGTGCTTTGAATCTCAGTTAAATTCTGGTCTCTTATGGTGCTGGGATAGTAAATCTGTGCTTGATCTGGACCCAAACATATTTTGATTGTAAATAGAGAGTCTTCTTTTATGAGGATGTTCACTTCACAGCTTGAGCAGTGTAATTTTTATACAGGTCTCAGCAATCAATAAAAAAGCCACAGGAGGAATGATTTATCTTGTTGGTTACAGAGACTGTCACCGAGAGAAATTGTAAAAGATCAATTTACACAACCTGGTGTGAGAACGTTATTGATATAACACGGCTGATCAGTTTCTGGTAGTCTATGGGCAGACGACGAGGAGAGAGTCCTGCCCTCGGATAGGCCACTCACCAGGCTCTTTAATAGACTCACTGGTCCATAAAATGGACACGAAGCCAATGAAGGGCAAGAATCTGCGTGCTCATGGTACACTGACTGGCCTGCAGGAAAATGGATTGGCTCAGCTCCGATTAGTTAGTTAAGCAGTGTCATGCGTCCTCCTTTTTTTTTCTTTTTCCCCTTCCTTCCCCTCCTTCCCCCCTCCCCCCCCCCCCCCCCCCCCCCCCCCCACTGTGAGAACTGTTCACTTGGAGGCTCACTGCCTTAATTACAAAGGGCCCTTTTAACTACAGGTCACAGGAGTTGGCTCACTTGACAGGAAATAAGGAAACAAGCTACCTTCCTGGAAAAAAAAAAAAGAAAATCAAACTTCCACTCCTCAAATTAGTTAAATGAAGCTTATCAGCACTTGTTAGTTGATCCTTTGACAGTCTGTTAATTGCAGCTGGTACATTAAGTTATGTTATAATCAGCAGGACATATGATTAAAAAATAAATAAATCTATGGATATGCCACATGGCATGTGTTGGTGGAGAAAACAAAGCAAGAAGAATGTTGATCTTTGCTGTAAATATCACAGCACAAAATACATTTCTAGGATATTTTCTTTCTTATTCTGTAGAATTAAATTGTATTCTAACTGAAGGGACTTCTTTGGATCAGAAAAGAGCTTCTCTATACAATGAAATTAGAAAGGTTTGCATTGTATCTTCTTAATAAAAAACATTGGCTACCCTGTAAATATAAACAGTCTGTACCTATGGATGTTATACATACAGCTTTTAATATACTTTTTCTGACACATATTCTCCATTATATTCTTTTATTTACAGACAATAATTTCTCACTGTTATTACTGGAGGGAAAGAAAAGAACATTAACAGCATTAAGAAACCCCGCGGCAGTTGTTTCTCCTTTGTAGGAAGTGACTCTACTGTATAACTGCTAGCAAAATAAAGGATCCAAAGGCACATCAAGGGGAAAAAACTGTTTTCATGTGTTTAACCTGTTAATTATAGTAATCTACACTACAGTGTAAGTATTGTAACCTGGAATGGGAAACGGGTGTTTGAAAGAATGAGCTGACTAAGACAAAAATGATTAAATCCACACTTTGAATGGATGATTTTCATATGTAATTTGAGCTACACATTCTTAAGTTGTTTCATTTTCACATTTCTGTACTCATCGGCACATATTAAAGTGAAAGACTAGCTGAAATGAATGTTTTCTTACCTTTATCTGCGCAGTATTTTAAATACGTCTCAAAAACTGAAAGATGTGTTCTTCTTGACTTATAATATGTGTTTTAATACATGTTTTATGCTTAATATGAAGTCAGATTTTGAAATCCTAGGCATCCCAACAATATTGCTTCTTTTTTATCTACAGAAGAACACATATAAAAGCAAAGTTAGTTTCATACTCCTGAATATTCAAAGTCCTTCTTAATTATCGTTGTCTTTCTATGTGATAGAACTAGTCAATAGGCCTCTCACTGTGTTCTTGATACGTGTTCTGAGCAGAGACACAGAGAGTGTCACCCCTCACCTCCAGTTCCTTCAGGTCTGAAAGTCAAATTCTTTGTTCTGAAAATGGATGGGATGCAGGTGCTGTCCCTCTTCTCATGCCTTCCTGTGCTCAGAATGGAAAATAAATAAAGGAAGTATGTTGAGAACAAAAAAGTGGCCCTTGTGAGTCCTGGGGGGAAGGGATGGGTGGGGGAAGGGGCTGGAGATGGCCAGATGGGGGATGATGACAGGTAAAAGGAACTGGGGCTAGGGGAGAAAGAAGAGCAGGAGGGAACTTGCTCTTAGTATATTCTTCACATGCTGAAATCACTTGATACTATTCTACACTCACATCTGCTAGTAACCCCTCAAGCATACAAACATCTGGAGCGAGGGTAACAGCCCAATCCAGATGTGGGGCTTGCTCCTTCCCAACCCTGGAGAGAAGTTCCCATCTCTGAGGATACATAAAGAGGTGCGAGGGTGTCCCTTTTCCAGACCTCCTGTCTTACTCATCCTTGGTCATGTTCCAAGTCAAATTTGGTCACAAATAGATGTTTATGCCATATTTTCAAGCGGGGGTGGGCAGAGGAAGAGTTGCCAGGCCATTCACTGTCTTAGCCAGTCAGCAATCATGAGTTAGCCGTGTTCCTCCCCTGCCCTTCTCATAACAAACTTAGGCTCTTCCCAGCACTTAAACAAATGCCATTCCCTGTATCCGATGCTTGGATGACACCTGTCCAGAACGAGCCTGGGCATGCTGCCCATGCAAGCCGTCTCAAGTATGATGCTCATCTCCCTTTCTGCTTTGATTCCTTTCTTATTTCTCTGCTCTGCTTTCAGGGCTGCTACTAAATATACGCCATTCTCCCCGACTCTAGGTTGGACAATTCCGGTGACTATCCCCCAAATTAGTGGTTACTCAGAATTGCAGAAAAACATATTAAGGAAGCTCCTCACCAAGATTTTCCCTGATTCATTGTAGGGACAGCTGGTAACAACACCCTGTATTCAGGTTGTTAAAGCCTTTCTATCATAGAAAATCCCTGTGACCTTTTATTTTGAGAATCTCTCACATTTCTGTTGTTTGTAGAAGATGTTTGATATTCAGCAGAGGAAATCCCCCTCGGGCCACAGAAGTGTCTTCTCTTTGTCCCATAAAATTCCATTTAGAATGCAGAGTGACAAAAATTGCCATTACCCTTCTCTTATTTTTATCTCCTGGGAAAACACTAGTAGGCTACATGCTGCAGGCCAGGCTCACACCTGCACTGCCAGCTCCAAGGGGCACACTGGACCAGCTGAAGCCAAGAAAATGGAAAAGTAAGTGAAGAAGAGGACAAGTCTGTGCTCTTGGGAATTATAAAAAATTCCCAGGTGAGCAGCTTCCATCCCAAACCATCCCCTAAAATACTTAGCTCAAGGGGTAGGAGTAAAGACAGAGAGACAAGGTTGCTTCTTAACACCTTGTAGACTCAAGATGTTTTCCTCATTTACACACAGACACACACACAGACACACACACCCCCACACCTCTCCCCCACACCCACAAACACTGAACAAACTTACGATGACAGAAGTAAGAAGAAAAGAAGTGTTAAAATAATTTACAACAGAGTTAACTTTAAATTAACTTTCCTGAGGCTGCAATAGCTGGTACTTGAGAGTTAAGAAATACCGCTGAACCTTAATTTATCCCCTTTTACATGAATGCACTCTGGTACAAATGTGTGTTACATATGATCAAACTGCATTTTCCAGTTGACCCCATCTAAATCAGTATTCAGGGTGGAGGTACTCAGGGGGTAAGAGGCGCTTAGCACATACAACTGAAATGCTGATATTTTATTCTTAAATGCTTGATTTTACAACCCAAGCAATTATTTTCACTTAGCAGTTTATGAGCCTGGAGTCTCATATGTTCTTATATTCAGAAATAACATGTGCTACCCACTAAAGTTAATCTGAGTTCATGTATGTTATTCTTTGGTAAAAAAAAATTACAAGATTTTAAAAATTCAAAGAACTATCTAGAACCCGTGATACCTGCACAGTCCGTATCACTAATGTGGTTTGTGAATTCAGTCACTGAAGGTGTTGCACACTCCTAATATTTTATTTCTTATGCAGAGAGATCCTGCTCAAGACTTTATGGAATAATGTTCTTTGCCCTGGAACAAAAAGCTTCTTCACCATTTAAGCATAGGCCTACCTTGCTCAGTGTGCTCAGGTATCAGTTTTACCCAGGACTCACAATCATTAGATTCTGGAGAGTACCACACAGACATATAAAGAGGACCATCTTCAGCTTCAGCTGAAGCTTTTTATAACTAAAGCTGGGTGAAAAATAAATTTCTAGTTTAGAGGCATTTCAGGCTTTAGTTTTATACCAATTCAGAGATAAATCATATGTTGCTTTCAGGATTTCCCATGACATAGGAATTATGGGATTTTTTGAACCCTCACAGGGGCTTCTGAAATGAAATATGCTCTCAGGAACTTGGCAGCTGATGAGTAGAGTTGACATGATTCTTGCTAGCTTCACTTCAGCTCACTTCAGAATAGCAGCAGATCAAAGACTCATGCATATACCTTAAAATGTTTTTAACCTAATGTAGAAATCTTTACCTGTGCATTATAAAGATCCTTATATCTATATTTGAACAGATAGGCTAGCCTCTTCAGTCCTTTATTGTGGTAGCTTTCTAGGGAGATTACTGGTAGTACAAAAACACGAACTGAGTTTTTAATGACTAAATGCATTTGAACAAGATTTCCAGCTAAGATGGTCTTCTGCAGCATAGGGAGGCACTGAGCACTGCGTCAGGCCTTGTAGGAACATCCTCCTCCTACTTGCTATTTGCTTCCAGCAGGGAAAGGGCTGAGAATGTGTTGCAAAGCCCCAGCCACGCCGACGCTCGGCAGCACGTGTCAGCGCCGCGTTAAATGGATAAACTGAGGCTCTGATGGTTACCCCACCTCTTACTGCCAGTTAAAAAGAAATAAAGCTGGAAACACTGGCACCAGGGCAGAGGCTCAGAAGCTATGTTGCTCGGAGGATCGCTCAGCCTCTCTGCGGAAATAAACAGGGCAGAAATCAATTTCACTAATTGCAGTGGATACTGTGAGATCTGTATCACCACTCTTTTGGAAATGAAATTCAGGTAATGAAGCCAGCTGAAAGGAAGACATTACCAACCAGTGACACTTATTCATAACACATACATGAATAGAAATGTCTCAGGTGGAATTTAGGAATGACCATCAGTAACTACTGTCCAAATCATCTGGTCTCTGTTGTTGCTCAAACACTCCCTTTTCCCATGGCAAACGCAGTTGCCAAAGTGAATTTGCATTCTGACACAGCATGTGCACCTGTGGTTGAATGTTACTTCTGCTGTAAGGTATTGCTGGTGACTTTGGGTGATATTTACTTGACTGAAGGTAAACTTGGTTTAGGTGTTTATGTTAGGTGTTTACATTACGTTGCATTATGCCCCAGAATTGTCTTCTCCTTTCCAGCCAGGAGCCAAAGTTAATGAGGTGTAGAAGGCTGCATCTATGATACCTCAAAACCAGAGTAATAGTGTCCACCTGGGTGCTCTTTAAGGCTTATATTTCACCAGTAATACGAACAATGAGGATGGTGATGGCATATGGTCCTGTTCCTGGTGATACAACTCCTGGCAGTAATGTTCTGTTGTTAATGCAGATACGTTACGGCATTTTTGTTCCCATGTTTCCTTGCTCCCAGTCGATACATGTTTTTTGGAACTAATTTGGGATTAAATATCTTTTATTCAGAGAGTTTGCTAGATTTTGACACTAACATTTATGCCTTTCTGATCAAAATGTTCTAACCTAGAGAATGTAGGCTTTTTGGTTGGATTGTTGAGCTTTGGGTTGTTTTAAATCTTGTTGCTTTAAGTTAATTTCTTTTTTGGAAAGAGTCTTTTCCCAACACACTTGGCTGTACATAGCCAAGTGTTTACATAGTTTACAAGGTGCACTAAAATTGAAATATCAAAGAGAACTGTTGAAATGACATGCTTGTGCAATTATCTGCTATTAACTCATCTGGAATCCTGTGATGAGCAAACTGTGATTTTCAATGTGTCATTACATTGTTGCATCAATGGGTTGTTCAACAGCTCAATTTAAAAAATACTCAAGAAATAATCATTACAAGAGGTAGTCCTTCCCATTCGATTGAAATAAATCTGTTCCAACACTAGGCTGACATGATCATGGATCTCATGAGGTTTTAGTGCTTTGTTTGCATTTGCTTTACAGTATTTACAGATGATTTTGTTGGATGTTTTATTTTTGATAAGACGTCTTGGATTCTGTTTTCTAATTACGTAGAGAAGCATGAGGGATAATGCTACCATTTCTGATTTCTTGCTTTGAGCTACAGCGACACAGTGGTGTTCTTCGCACAGTGTCAAAGTAAAGTGGTTATTTTGTTATTATGGTGCTACAACATTTTTATCCTCTGGATAATTTTGCCTTTTCTGGTTGTATTCAACTGGAATTATCCCCTTCCGGCATCAAAAAGGTATATCTATTTTGTGGTTTTCATTTGCAATTAATAGAATTTGTGTGGAAAATGGTCAACAGTATTCTGTTGTTATCATTTTACTGTGGCTTTCTCCTTTTGCTACTCAGTAGACAGGTGCTCTGGAAAATCTGTCTTGTGGAAGAAATTCGGGTGCTCTGGAAAATCTGTTTTGTGGAAGAAACTATCAAGCATGTTAAATATGTAAATATGCTCCAAAATGTCTATTCTTAACAATATCACTTTTTTTTTTTTTTTTCTTTTATTTTTCCACTGCTTTATGCCTTTTTATAAAGGATTCTGTAAAATG